AAGTATTAGTGTGATTAGTGTGGTAATCACCATCTGTCTCAGGTAGTGTGTGTGTGTGTGTGTGTGTGTGTGGGCCTATAAAGCGTCCATGTGCTTCCACACACACACCTAATATGTTTCAGGTTCATTTTAGCTCCAGACGCTGTCATATCATAATTATGCATTAACCTTCCCATGACCCTCAGCACTGCCCTGTATAAACCACATCACTGACCGCACACTCATTCAGCCTCACTGGTTCCTCAAGAACAGCGAAATCAGCATATTAGAATGATTTCTGAAGATCATGTGACACTGAAGACTGGAGGAATGATGCTGAAAATTCAGCTTTGATCACAGAAATAAATTACATTTCAACAGATATAAAAGTTATTTTAACCTGTAAAAATATTTCACAATATTACTGTTTATATTGTAGTTTTGATCAAATAAATGCAGCCTTGTTGAGCTGCAGAAGAAACCTTACCAACCACAAACCTTTGAACGGTAGTGTAATATATATTTTTAGAATATTTTTTATAATTTTACAATTTTGTAATCGTTCATTTTTTTTCTCAGAGACTGTGACGGATTACAGTTACATTTATTTTGTAATCAAATTACGTAGCGCCGTTACATGTAAACAGTTACAACACTGGAAATAACACACAGTTATTAGTGAATGAGAGCCAGCGTCTGAAGGCTCTGGCGTTTGTGCCGTGTCTCACCAGATAGTCGTCCGGTCGAATCCCGAAGAGCTCTCTGAAGTAGCGGAACGCCACCGGAGCGTACGTTTTAAACCTGAAGTCTGGATAGTGATGCGCCGGCGTCAGATTACTGCCTTCACTGAGAGACAGAGAGAGACATACATCAAATCTGGATCATCTGACTGACTGATGATCAACACTGCTTTCTTACAGTGTACACTACCAGTCAAAAGTTTGGGATCAGAACGATTTTTAATGTTTTTTATAGGAGTTTCTTCTGCTCATCAAGGCTGTATTTATTTGATCAAAAATACACGAAAAAAATGTAATATTGTGAAATATTATTATGATGTAAAATAACGATTTTCTATTTTAATATACATTAAAATCTAATTTATTCCTGTGATGCGCAGCTGTATTTTCAGCATCATTCCTCCAGTATATTTGGCAGCACAACTGTTGATAATTCTAATATTAAATCAGCATATTAGAATGATTTCTGAAGATCATGTGGCACTATACTGGAGTAATGATGATGGAAATTCAGCTTTGCATCACAGAAATAAATTATATTTTAAAGGATATTAAAATACAAACCATTATTTTATATTGTAATAACATTTTGCAAGATTGCTGTTTTTTTCTGTATTTTTGGTCAAATAAATGCAGCCTTGATGAGCAGAAGAGACTTCTTTAAAAAACATTACAAGTCTTACTGATCCCAAACTTTTGACTGGTAGTGTAAAACTTTATTATCACTTTTTATCAATTTAACACATCTTTGCTGAATAAAAGCATTAATTTCTTTCAAAACCCCCAAACTTATGAACGTTAGTGTATATTGTTACAAAAGATTTCTATTTTAAATAAATGCTGTTCTTTTTAATGTTTTATTCATCAAAGAATCCTGAAAAAAGGATCGCAGATTCCAAAAAAATATGAAGCAGCACAACTGTTTTCAACATTGATAATAAATCAGCATATTAGAATGATTTCTGAAGGATCATGTGACACTGAAGACTGGAGTAATGATGCTGAAAATTCAGCTTTGCATCACAGAAATAAATTATACTTTAAAGTATATTAAAATAGAAAACCATTATTTTAAATTGCAATAATATTTCACAATATTACAGTTTTTTCTGAATTTCTAATCAAATAAATGCAGCCATGATGAGCAGAAGGCAGACTTCCAAATCTTACTGATCCCAAACTTTTGAACGGCAGTGTATATGTAAAATATATTTGAAGTGTATTGTATTGTGGGATACAGTTTTCCACTAAAATGCTGGCTAATAAATAAGCCACCCAAGTCCGCTATAAAAATATGTTTGTATAGAACACAGTCTGCATTTGTTGGTGTAAGTGCTTGATTTTAATGAAGACCAAAGCACTAGTAGTTACATTAGCAATGCTTGTCTTAGCAAACACCACTAACTGAAGCAGCGAGACTATATGAAGAGATGGATTTAACACTCTCTGGTGCAGCAGAAATCTCACATACTGTACAGACCTGGGGAAGAAGATGCTCTCCACCACGTAGAAGTCTTGCATGAGGACGTCCCGCTCGGGTTTGGAGCTCAGGTTACCCACGGTGTAGCCGATCCCCAGCTGAATGGCTCCTTTCAGGGCGGACGAGGTCGTCTGTCGACACACAAGACGAACACTTCTGACTCTCTGACCGCAGTTAAACTCGCCCTGCATCCCTGACATACAGTGACTGCATAACAGCATGAAGACAGATACAAAGGACCACACATAAAATGTTTTTAAAAATGTAATATATTTGGCAAAACTTCATTTTAAGGACCAATTCTCACTATTAACTAGTTGCTTGTTAGCATGCATATTATTAGCATATTGGCTGTTTATTAGTACTTATAAAGCCTTATTCTGCTTTATTAAATTTTTTAATATATTTTAATAAATATTTATTTTTAAAATATATATAATATTTTTTAAATATTTTCATAACATGCAATTTAAAAAAATCTATAACATTTTCATATAAAATATATATAAAATATATGTTATAATAAATAATATAATAAATATATATAATTAATATAAATATATATACAATTTATATATATAAAAAATGTTTCCTTCATAATAAACCAATTTATTGGCTAATATTTGGAGTATTTTTGGATTACCACCACTAATAACTAAAATTTCAGGTTCCCTTTGTGACAGTAACAACTTTGTCAATAAACAATACACAGTAATGTTTTAATTTACTGAAACTAATGTGTATAATGATTGTTAATTTTAAGTCTAGCAATTTTAATGTCTCATTAGCTGTCCATAAATCAAGTTATATCATATATATGTGTATATATAGTATGCAATGAAGATAAAAAAAGTCATTTTCAAAATCCTAAAGCTGTCTGAATGATTTCCAGGATTAAAAAAAACCCAGATGTCCAACATGGACGCTTTTGGACCACACTGTATATATCAGCAGCCTGAAGTAAAAATTGACTGAAATTGTGATTGAAATGGACAAAATTGAGAAATGAGATCGAGACACCGTGAAGCTGATGTGTGACTGAAGACGCACCTTCTTGTAGGTGGTTTCGCCGGATGCATCGACCCGCCTGTGACCGATCTTCTTCTCAGGGCCAGAGCTGGAGTGACACGAGGAAGATGGCATCTGAGAGGATGAAAAATCACAAACGAGATCTCATTTACATATTTCTCATAGACAGCAAAGAGTTTAAATGGAGATTTGATCATCCAAGTGATCTGAGCTGCTACAGTATCTACATGCATTCTGTTGCTCTATGCTATTAATGTATGATTCATTTTTGTCTATTTTTAGGAGAAACATTTAAGACAAAGTTGACACTTCAGTTCATAGTTCTCCCCATTACGAAAATTTGCCGAAAATGTACTCGCTCTCAGGCAATCCTAGATGTAGATGAGTTTGTTTCTTCATCAGGTTTGGAGAAATGCAGCATTGCATCAGTGTCTCAGCAATGGATGCTCTGCAGTGAATGGGTGCCGTCAGAATGAGAGTCCAAACAGCTGATAAAACCATCACAATAATCCACAAGTAATCCACACCACTCCAGTCCACCAGTTAACATCTGGAGAAGACAAAAGCTGCGTAATAAATCTATCATTAAGGTGTTTTTAACTTTGAACCATCCCTTCTGGCTAAAATACGAGTCCATAATCCATAATAACGCTTCCTCCAGTGAAAAAGTCCATCTCCTGTTGTCTCTCACATCAAAATCCAGCCACATATTTGTTTAGAGCTGTTTTGGACTGTTGTAAACGCTGCTTGATCCGTGCAGATTTCTCTCCTGATTCAGACCAGACTACTTTTTCACTGGAGGAAGCATTATTATACAGTTTAAACCTCTTAAAGGTCCACTGAAGTGCCTTGAAACATGCAGCGTTATTCTATGTGTAGACAATTTCAACTGAAACAGGAAGACGGGGCGGGACATATCGAGCAGCCTTAGATAACCTTAAGGATAACATATTCATACTAAAAGCCAAAAAACTTTCATTTTGATTTCATGGGGACTTTAATGATGGATTTGTTTCAGCTTTTGTCTTCTCAAGACATTAACTGATGGACTGGAGTGCTGTGGATTACTTGTGGATTATTGTGATGTTTTTATCAGCTGTTTGGACTCTCATTCTGACGGCACCCATTCACTGCAGAGCATCCATTGCTGAGCAAGTGATGCAATGCTACATTTCTCCAAATCTGATGAAGAGACAAACTCAACTATATCTTGGATGGCCTGAGTAAATTTTCAGCAAATTTTCATTTTTGCATGAACTATTCCTTTAAATCTCAATTTCTGAAACCTCTGATCAATAACATTTTCCAAACACTTGAACATTTAACTCTTCTCAAGACTGCTTTAAGTAACACTGGAGTTGTATGACCGAAATTAATGATATACAGATAATAAATGATGCTTCACCTCGGTTATGTAGGTCTTCTTAAGAGCAGCGTCTGAAATGACAGAGGAAGAGAGAAATGCAGATTATTTAAAAAAATGTCTTAATAAATGTCGTTAATAAAACAATAAAAGAAAAACCTAATAACAGTGAGCAAGTGCAAAAATGAGCATGCAATGAATGCAACATACTACAGTAGTATGCAACGGTGCTGTCACATGTCCTCATTAAGTTGCACATCTGATTCATTGAAATAAATGTGGTCATTTCACATTTTTATGCAATTTTCTATAAAAATGTCTTATGGCAGTCTGATTAAATAAAGAATCAAGAAAGAGATGTGGAAAATCATGCTTTGTATTACTCCCAGTTCAGTTGTCACACAGGAAGCTGAAGGTCGAGTTGAGTGCATTGCATCGTGGGATACATTAACCCAAACAGTGTAAACACTGTATGTGTACAGAAAATATAAACACACACACACTGCAAAACTAGTATGAAGAGTGTGTTAATCTGAACACACACTGGTTAATGTGTGAATAACAATTCAAGGACAAACGGCGGGAGTCTGCAGCTCTGTGCTGCCTTGCAGTCATTTCACACTGCGTTTTTCTTGCACATGTTTCTGTGTCACTGAATTCAAGGGGAGGGGGCGGAGCTACAGACAAGTAAACCTGTCAATCATTCCTCAGCACGTGCCGGCGCAGAATTAAGGCAAGATAACAGAACGCAAATGAGACCTGACCTGCTTTACACCCGAGAGGAGCGAGACTATTTAATAACGGGGAATTAGAGCAGCACTGCAGCGCTGTAAAAAGTCTTAATTTCATCCTGGGACGCAGATGAATCTCATCAACACATGTCCAGGTCATAGTTTTAGCACACAATCAAAAGAAATTAAATAAAAATATATATTTTGTATGAAGAACATGAAGCTTATTTGATAAATTAAGCAATATATGTTTGTGTATAAGTTAAAAATGATATGTTGCATGAAATATATATATATTTATATACTATATTTTTGTCTCTACTTTAATCTATTTAATTAAAAGCAGCATATGTTGAAATTACTAACATAAATTACTGCTAAGACGCATAAATACTCACTATTTAAATAACACATCATTACTTTTTCCAGGTAAAATGTATTTAATTGTCACAATGCAAACAATCTAAAAAAGGTTTTATTTTTTCCAAGCAAAATATATGATCTTATTAAATGGGACCTGGACATGTTCTTGACCGAGTTTGTGAGATCAACAATATCCTCTGTAAAGCTTTGTGTTTTGGGAGCAGATGCAGTATTGTTGGCGGTCTCTCGTGGAGGCGCATGTGTTTGAGGAGCAGATAATGAGAGCCGAGGAAACGCATGACATGTGCAGCTGTCGTCTGACTGCGAGAGACATAAATACAGAGAAACATGCTGAGAAAATCACTTCTGCCTCTCACACATGCTTCAGAACCAGCGTCCAAACACGGACAAAACGCTGCAAAACATCCTCGCCAAGAAGATACCATGGTAACTACAGAGTGCTACTACATTTTTACACTTCACGAGAAAATGTGGAGGTGTTTGCCTGTGCAAAACAGAACTTATTCTGGATGTGTCTGACCTTCTGTTAAAGTGCAGGGTTTTATCTCCGGAAATATGACATGAGTCGTTTTACAAATCCAAATCCCAGAATGTAATGCAGACAGCAGATAACAGTGTTTGCCAGAAACAAAAGAGCCCAAATCATTTGCAATCATGTTTGTGGTGCTGTGATTTATGGAAAGAGAAACGTCAGGCTCGTGTCTGACTCGACGAGACCCACGTTACAACAGAGCATCACAACGAAATAACATATTATGGATAAAGAAAAATGAATGATATGTACTATATATATAAAATATGCTTATGAAAATTTACCTTCAAAATGACATAGTTAAAACCATAAAATCATAGTAAATTTATATCAATCTCCTTCAAACAGTGTAAAAGGCTTCAGAATATTTCTGTCATTTTGCATACTTTTTTTTTCTGTAATTTCTAGTCTTAATGTGTCATTTTGAAGGGAACTATATGGAAACTTGTTTGTGCTTTATATAAAAATAAAAAGTTAACTGCGACATTTTTTCTCAAAATCCTGTCTTTATTCTCGCAATTCTGAGATATAAACTCACAATTCAAAGAAAAAAAGTCAAAATTGCGAGATATAAACTCAATTCTGAGGAACCAGATCTGCACTGGGAGATATAAACTCAGAATTCTGAGAAAAAGGTCACCCTAACCTTTTTTTATTTAATTTTTTAATTCCGTGGCGGAAACTGCCTTCAAAAGAATTATGATTACCATGGAAAATATTAGAATTTTGTATAGTTATTTTAATACATCGTGAATGAATCTTCTGCAATCAGCAGTGACAGAGGATGGTGTGAGAACAGAACTGACAAAGGACAAGAAGAACCCTGAATCCCCGAATACTGGATCACACACGCAGTAGAAACAAAGAAACAAGGAGATTTTGTTTTTAACATACAACAACATGTCTAAGCTCATTAGATGAATCATGCAAACACTGGTGCCGAGGGTCTCGAATGAATGCGGCAGAATCTCACATTCACACTGTCAGCGCTAATAACATCACACACACACACAGCAAGCCACAATAAACACAGATTTACACATGGTAAAAAATACGGGACCACTTCACAAAAACCACACACTTCTCATCCAGCACATGACGGTTGTATGTATTCAGAGCTGAGAGAAAATCTCAACAACTCAATGAAAATCTTCCCTCGAATGACTAATCAATATGAGATGCAGAAGCACAGACTGTTGCCAGATGCCAAGAAAACCTCACTAAAATGTGTCCGGATGTTTGTTTCAAACTGCAATGTGAAGAATAAAACAGGAATCTATGGTCTAATTTGGTCCAGTGACAGACTGGATCTCACCATGAGCATTGTGGGAGAAGGCCAACAGACTGTTGGAGATTCACACCCAACTGCTCACGACGCTTTACGTACATCTGTGTAAATGATGATTTCAATGCAGCTATAATTGCTGGTTACTTCATACGGTTGTAAACAAGACACACTTTGAGAAGACTTGAGTGAAGGTAATACTTACTAGAATACTTCAATAGATGCCAATACTTACAGAGCAGGTATGATTGCCATATTTCATTTTATGATCTTTACAGGTCTACAAATGAACTGGCTGTATCGTGCATGATCTGAAAGCATGAAGTACTGTATAGACTTGTAGAATAACATTCAATTCTCACTTTCAATTCAGAAAAACTAAAGGATCGCCTTGATTTAAATACAAGTTTACAAGCACATATTAGACATGCACACGTGGCCTTACTGAATCTATGAAATGTATTTATCATTCAAATGATATTCTGAACAGCATATTATGCAGACATGATGAGACGTCCATAAAACCAAAACAATTATAGTAACATATTATAGATATGATATTGTGCATCATCATTACAGTATTTGGGTAAGTCTTATTACTTCTAATTTTTAAATAAAATGTGATCTTGTTTTCATGCAATGCAATGTAATGCCAAAAACAATATTTTTTTAAATGCTTCAATCAAGAAAAAAATAGACATATACTAATCATATATATATATATATATATATATATATATATATATATATATGCAATATTTTTAATAAAACAAAAACTCTAATAATTATTATGATGCTATAATTCAGGAAAACAAAACAAAAATTTAATATAAATTGCAGTTTAACTTTCTTTTAAATTGCAAAAAATAGGTGCTAGAAAATTATAAATGTAAAGATTTTTAAAACAAAAGAAAAACGAAAACTAAAATGTTTTATATATATAATTATAACACTAATTATTAAAAAAATATGAATTGATTATACATGATTTTTGCAGTTTAATGCTAACTGTTTCCATATGATGAACTGATTTGGATTAAAACATCTAAATGAATGTAAATCTGACATAAATGAAAGTTCTGACACCATGATAATTATCTAAAAACCAAAAGTCACAGTAGATGCAGCTACTGTAAATCACTAAAGACGAGTGATTTCTGCCTCAGCAACAGCACTGCTGCACTAGAATCAGTTCAACCCTGAAACATCAGGAAAAAAACAGCGGAGCCGGCTGCAGGTCAGGCCACAAACTGTCAGAACGCATTAAAGTCAGTCCATCACGAGAGCCTGAGGGAACCTGGCTCTGTATTAACACACAGTCACCAAAACCGCCTGAAAACCAGCTGAATTTAACAAGAGAACATGAGTCATTTCAGTCTGTCATCAGTCAACATTCAGTTCAGAAACCATACTAGTTAATTCATACTTCAAAACAGGAAAGCAGACCTTGAATAATCACATTCTCACCGTTTTCCAGGACTGCAGTTTTCTGATGGAGACAGATGGTTTGGTTCGGTTCTCTGGAGAACCTGACAGATTTCATCCCGGCGCTGGAGGCGATCAATTAAAGAGACGCTTTATGAACATATAATGACTGATGTGAGCCTCGAGGCTACAGAGACGAGATAATGAAGCGAGTGAATGTCAAACTAATGTCTTCAGCGCATAAAAGTGCTAAAAGTTTGTGCACAAACATCCTCAAACTGCCTTGAAATGCAACACAGCATCTTAAACGCACCTGAGGAACAATCTAGAAAGACTGAGAAACCTAACTGCTGAAGTTATGAGCCCGTTCTTAATCTAAGAGGTGCTGATAGAGTTTATGTATGACCATGTATGAAGGTATAAAAGTCATAAATACAGACCTCTGATGTCACAGGAGTCCCTGCGGCTGGACTGATGCTGTGCTTTGCGTCGCTCGTTTCTATTTGCAGTCGGATCAGTGGCGCTCAATCGGATTGACAGCAGGAACTAATCTGCTGCCCTGACAAACTCCACAATCTCTCTGGTCACCTGGAGGCGAGCGGCGGCCAATCAGACGCAGAGATTACGGCTGGCTTCTGCCCACCGGTGGATAAGACTAGGAAAAGCCCAAGTGCCAAGGACGAGGGCACAGAACGACAGACAGACAGGAAACACGACCAGAAACGACTCACAATGTCTCAAGGACTCACAGCCTCTGGCTTAAGACACACAAAGATATTCAATGATAGAATGATATCAGAATGATAAAGAACAAGAATAATAGAACGAATGAATGAACAAATGAATGAACAAACAAACAAACAAATTATATAGACAGACAGACAGACAGACAGACAGACAGACAGACAGACAGACAGACAGACAGACAGACAGACAGACAGACAGACAGACAGACAGACAGACAGACAGACAGACAGACAGACAGACAGACAGACAGACAGACAGACAGACAGACAGACAGACAGACAGACAGATAGATAGATAGATAGATAGATAGATAGATAGATAGATAGATAGATAGATAGAATAAATTAATGAACAAATAAACAAATAAACAAAAGAACGAACAAAAACAGATAGTCAGGCAGAATGATAGAATGAACAACAAAATGAATAACAGAACGTCCAAACGAACAAACAAACGAACAACAGACAGACAAGACAGATAGATAGAATAAATGAATGAACAAATAAACAAACAAACAAACAAATGAACAACAGATAGACAGACAGACAGACAGAATGAATAACAGAATGAACAAACGAATGAACGAATAAACAAACAAACGAACAAAAGAATGAACAAACGATAGATAGTCAGGCAGAATGATAGAATGAACAGAATGAATAATAGAACGTACGAACAAACAAACGACAGACAGACAGATAGATTTCATGTCTAAATGGGAAATTCCTGATGTGAATATGATGATCTAATGAATAAATTAAAACATACGCCAGACACACATTTCAGCACGGTAAACTCCGTGTTTTTGGAAGTGGGAAACTAACCAGACCGGAAAGTTCCGGCAGTGTAATAATAATCTCTGGTCACCGTCAGACTGTGCTGGAATGTGCTGAGATTAAGGTCAGGACAGTGAACACACAACCTTCTGATGGTAAAAGTGTTTGATCACATAATGGTCCATTGCATGTCATTTAGGTAAGAAAGCACTCCTAATATAATAAAATGATCAACAGCATTAGAATTCAATGTATAAACACATTTGTGCATTATTTTAAGTATTGCTTTACTGAAGCACTGCAAATATATCTGTAAACGTATGTTTGAACAGGTCAGCTTTACTTCAGAGATTGTGCGCGGTCACCTCGCTTCACTAATGTTGAGTCTGACAGATTAATCAACAACCCTAATCAACCTTAAAACTAGAGTCAACCTGCTTCAATCCTTCATGACAACATGAACAGCCCGAGCTGAGTTATAGAGAAATCAGAGTAAAAAACGAGAGTCTGAGCGGTTAAATACAGCGTTGAGAAACGAGCATGTCCTTATTTGAGCTTCACACACCAGTAAATCAAGAGCACTTTAAAGCACAGCAAGTCTAGACCAGCCAAATAAAACATTTAATCACACAACAAAAGCCTTCTGATCAGAGTCAAACAACCACTGAACAAAGCTGAAACTCCACTGTATCTAATAGCAGTTTCACAATGATTAATCATGTTGAATGTGTCTCTAAACACTCATGACATTTGCAGAGCAAAACATGAGATGGTGGAAAGTTAAAAACTACATAAGACTCTCACATATCACAGAACAGTGATGGTATTGGATAGTAAAAGCATAATACACTATATATGATATTGAATGATTACCAAATCCATATATCATCATATTTGCCAAGGTACATTACCACAGTAAATCAACAAAAAACATGATATCAGTGTTGCTAATGTTAACTACAATTATTACAAATCGTTTTTGTTCATTGAAATAAAATCAAATATAAATATTAGATGAATAGCTTAATGCTACCTTGGCAGCTAACTGAAATAAATAAGATTAAGGTGAATTACTAAAACTGAAAGAAAAATAAAGCTAAAAAAAAAAAGTAAAAATGACAAAAGCACATGCTAAAATGGCTAAAATAAACTTAAAATATAAAATAATATTAAATACAATTTAAAACTATATTAAATATCAAAATATTAATAAATACTGTAAGTGTATACAAATAATATCAATGCAGTAAAATGTAAAAAATATCAAATAAAAGCTCATTCAAAATGTTAATAAATACTATAATAGAATATAAATAATACTAAAATAACACTGCAACATTTAAAAAAAAAATATTGGGCACTTCATTTGATGGCCCTCTGCATTGAGAAAATGTATTGACAATGTCTGAAACTGTGCTCAGATTTGCTAAGATACCAAAGTCTGCAATCAAAAGTCACAGATCTCGATATTATCTCAGATTTCTCAACTAATTCATCCATTCTCAAATGATCTGAGCTGCTTCACATTCATTTTATAGCTTTGTTCTCCAAAGGAAGTTCAGGAGGCAAAGTTGATCCTTAAATGACCCATAACTGAGTCTCCTGAGCTACATCTGAGCAATAACATCAGGGATGCTGCATGTGTGAAGAACAGCAGCTAAAGCTTCTTCTCTCTTCTCTGAGATGAGAACATTACAACTTCATCAGCTGTCTCGGGGATTCAGCGGGAATCGGCCGTATCACTGCCTGTGTTTATGTTCTGATGTCAGTGAGTCGTTCTGGATGAGACGCTGATCTGCGGCTGAGGAGATGCTAAATAAAGCTCCGGCCTTCAGCTCCTGTTCTTACGCAACTAGTGTTTACAACCTCAGACACACACGCTCATGCGCTTGACAAAATCATGCACGAATCCAACAGAAAAATCCCAGATACGGCACTGAAGGAGAAGGTTTGCAACTCGTCCTGTAGCATGAACCCTAGCAACTGCATAGTGATGCCCTAGCAACCAAACAGAAAACCACAGCAACCCCTTAACAAAACACTGGCAAAACACCCTAAAAATGCATTGTGATGCCCTAGCAACCACCCAAAACACCCTAGCAACCAAACAGACACCATAGCAACCCCTTAACAAAGCACTGGCAAAAGCACCCTAAAAAATGCATAGTGATGTCCTAGCAACCACCTTAACAACCAAACAGACACCATAGCAACCACTTAAAAAAGCACTGGCAAAAACACCCTAACAACCGCCTAGTGATGTCCAGCAACCACTCAGATCACCCTAGCAACAACCTAGCAACCTAACAGAAAACCATAGCAACCCCTTAACAAAGCACTGGCAAAAACTTCCTAAAAATGCATAGTGATGCCCTAGCAACCACCCAAAACACCCTAGCAACCAAACAGACACCATAGCAACCCCTTAACAAAGCACTGGCAAAAACACCCTAACAACTGCATAGTGATGCCCTAGCAACCACCCATTTTAAATTAAACATTTTGAACCTTTAGAGCCATTTAAGAGCAAACATATATTTTATATATACACTGTAAGAAACTGACTGTGAAATTCACAGTAATTAACTGGCAGCAAGTGACAAGTAACTTACTGTAGAAAAGAACTACAGTAATTAACTGGCAGCTAGTGACAAGTAACTTACTGTAGAA